GGGGGTGCTTAACTTTTTTCCAGGTGTATATTTTTAGGAAACAAGAACCCAAATTACAAAAATATTGTCAGTAACATACTTGATAAATTCAAAGAGTTGGGTTGTAATATGAGCTTGAAAGATCATTTCTTACATCTCATATTGACTATTTCGCTGAAAATCTTGGAGCCATCAGCAAAATACAAGGGGGAAGGTTTCATCAAGAGATCAAGGAAATGGAGAGGAGGTATCAGGGAAGGTGGAACATCAGCATGATGGCTGATTACTGCTGGTCATTGAAACAAGATGCTCCAGATGCAATACATAAAAGAAAGACCACAACATGTAGTTTTGAGACTAAAAGACGGATTTTACAAAAAATACTTGGGATGAATGAGGATGCATATTTGTTTGACATCAATATTCTTCCCTTTTTTTCAGTTTGTTTATATTTTTGTTAACAAACATAATAATAAAAAATGTTCATTGTGGTAAATGAAATAATAATTTGATCTAAGTAAGAGTTTTTTCTTCCTGCTTTGTAAAAAATCCTTACGTGATAGGAAAAAGTGGATATTATTATTAATCTGTGTAGCTGAATTATGGAAGATCCATTATTAAAACTAAAACAACTTTTATGAAGTTTAAATTCACATTTTCCACTTCATCACTACAAAGCACTCTGAAGGGTTTTTGATTACTTGTATACCGAGTTTGACAGTAACTTGCAACTGTGTTGTTTAACATCATGTTTACCAAGTAAACTAAAGGCTTTTTTTTTTAATTGTACACGAAAATACCCATTCTGAATTATGTTACTATTTATGTACAAGTAAACAAGAATTTTGTAGTGTCTTTTGTAAAATTTAAAGCCTTGAAATATATATTTTGATTTTTAGACCTATAATTCTTGCTATAAAAGTTTTTTTTAATAATCATTTCATTTAATTTATTTCAGAGAGCAATTTCCATGTGACACAGTCCAAGTTCTCAATGATCATTGTGATGAGGTCTGGTTTTGCAGGTTTTCTAACAATGGCCAGAAATTAGCTACAGGCTCTAAAGATAGTACAGTTATTATTTGGGATGTTGACCCTGTGAGTAATGTTTTTGGAATTATGATCATCACAGTCCTTTTATTTAAAACAGGAAGGAAATTATTATTATCTAAACTTAAATATCATGATAATGGTTGTTATTCTTGCTTGACATTATACATTTCCTGTTAATTATTGTTTTTAAGGTAGAATGATGGTATTGTTTTTCATAGCTTACAATGTTTTTATAGGATAGGTATTATTTATTTTTAAGGACAATAGTATGCTTGTTAGATATTTCAGACTTTTCCAAAATGAATACTCACTTCCTCTAGCTGTCTTCCTCGGCTCTTCTGTACATTCTGCCAAAGAGACTTGCATGACACTATCCTTGTGAAAACTCTCATCTAATTTCATGTGAATTTGTTCCACTGCATGAAGATGTCAACAAGCAGCAAAAGCCCTCCACCAACAGGAGGGTGACACACCTCCATGTGCACTAACTCTCTCTCTCTATGCATTTACAGTCTTGAATTTTAATTCTTCTTCTTGGCACTTTGTTGTCCAGACATGTTTAAATTTCTCAACTATGTTCAAGTTAATGAGATTTGCTTCGTTAACAAAACTTTCACTTTTGTTTTCTTTAGTTTTTGTTTCAAATGCTTTAATATTTTATCATGACTTCTCAAATAATGGTGTTTTATACTCAGTCCTGAGTGTGGGATGTTGTTCACACTTAATCTTATTCTTGCTGTGACTTTTGGAGGTATGTTATTTGCTGGGGTTGTAGCAGCCATTGCTCAAGATGTTGTGGATTACCACATGTTTCATTAACCTCCTACTCTCATTGTTTTGGCCAAAGTTCTTTTTCCTCAATTAGGAATGATCTATTAGACTCACTTTATGACCCATAATTCTTAGCTTTATTTTTTTTTTTTTCTCTTTGCTTGTTATTAGGATGTATACTATTTCTGTTCACTGATAGCTCCTTTCTCTTAACAAATACCTCGTCCTCTCCTTCATGTTCATGGCCACTTATGTCAAGATTTGTTGACATTCTTCCCTTCCTCTTCCCAATTCTCTGTTTTGGGTTTCTATTTTGACCATTTTGGGATCAAGACCCTTACCTTCTTTTTCCCTTTCTAGTTCCCTCCTTTAGCACCTTTCATCTTTTTCTCTCTACCTTTTTGTATTCCCTCTTCTTCCTCCATCTTTTATCTTTGGCACTTCTTCATGCTTCTGATAGCTTTTGTAGATGTTTTTCCTTTCTGTGTTTGGCCTGTTCCACTTATTCTGCTCTGTACTTTGTTCCCCTGCTCATTGGGTCAAGTTACATTTCTCTTTAGTGTGCCCATTCACTCTGCTTGTATACATATTATTCATATAGTTTCCTTTCTCTGTCCAGATGTATTCTTTGGTGTTCTTTTCCCTATGCTAATGTGCTCTGATAATATACGACTTCTGTCCTCATTCTCTTCCAAGGTTTTTTCCCCTCTGTTGATCTTGTCCTTTATTCATAATCTTTATCTAGATCAATCTCCTTTTCACACTTCCATTCCGAATTCCAGGTGATCCTGCCTTTCTTGTCTTCCTTCTATCAGTAGTCTCAGGTTATTCCTTTTCATATTAGAGACTATCACACGTGTATAGTTCTGCATTTACCTTTCTCTCCTTCTGCTGTTGGTCTCACTTTCTGCCAATAGTAATTTTCCATTTCCCTATCATAGTCTCTTTTCTCACTCCTCCTCTCTTTACCTTTTTTCTGTTTCTATTTCTCCTCTATTCAACACATCTATGGTCTTTTTTCACCCTATCTGCAGTCAGCCATGATCAATGTGTCAAACACCTTTCTACACATTTCTCAGCAAGTCCTCTCTTTGTTTTCTCTATCCCATCTATCCCTTTTTGCATCCTCACATTCTCTCATTCCTTACTTTTTCCTTCACCTCAGTGCCGGCTCCTCTTGTATTCATTGTTATCATGTGGGCCTTCACTTGTCATGTTCACCACCCATGGCTGAATGTTTATATCTGTTAACTAATTATTGGATGTTTTTCCTACCTCACTTCTTTTATGGTATCTGCTTGGTTGGGGGGGACCTTTCTCACACCCACTCGGGTATTTTTGTACATTTCCATTTTCTCTCATCTCAACTGAGTTCAGCCTATCTTCTTTGCACGCAAACTATCGCTTATCTTGTCACAGGGTTTTATATATCTTGTTCTCTCCCTGTGTGAGAGGCTCTTTCCCCTTTGAGAACTCTGGCTTTTCTCTAGAACCCCTCCTTCATTTGAGGCATGCCTTCTTTCTTGGGATCCTTTGTCCTTTGTTATAAGCCCCTCCTCTAGGATATATCAGGGTGATTGGACCATTTCCATCCTACTTTCTTCAATCTCTTACCACCTCTCAAACCAGATCTCCCATTTTTGATGTTTCTCTCTCAGATTGAGGTACTTTTTTTTTTGCTGGGGCAAGCTTTCTGATGTTTGTACATTGGAGTAGTGTCCACTCCCCATGAACGTGCTTGACCTTCTTTCTATTTGTCAAGCATATTCCCATTCCTGTTTCTACTGGCAGTTCACTTAGTCGTGCTCCACTCAATATTTTCCACAGTCTTTCCTTGTTCTAACCACTCTTGTGACTCCTGTTCCAGGGCCTTTTTGTTTCTGGGGACTAATTATATACTTCTGTGCCTGTTTACGTCCTTCACTGGGAGCTTTTTTCTTATTGGCAAGCTACCTTTCTTGGCTAGTCCTTATTTTGTCAACAGAGTATCCTTTGCATCCCCAGATCTTCCATGGGGCTTACTCTTAGTTGGACACTTTGTCACCCTTCTCTACTCTGGGTATTCTCTCTTGCAATCCTCTATTTCTCTTCCTTCAGCTCAGGCTGTCATTTTTCTCATCTAAGCGTGGTCTTACCTGTTTCTCTATACCATCTCCCTTATTTGTCTCATACTTCTGGACCCCAGATTTACACATTATTAACCTTCTTGGACCCTCTTGCTGACACCTTTTTGATCAGCTTGTCCATGATATGGTTTTTAATTGGACCCCCCTTTCCTCTCATCATTATCCCCCTCTTTCTTTGTTCACACACACACACACTCACTTCCCTTCTTTCTCCACCTGCATGCATAAAATTTACCTGGTCTGTCACCCATCAGACTGAACTTTCTACTACTGTGATCTTATTTTTGTCACATTCTCCGCTGTATTCGTTTATTGTCTTTGGTTGCAGGTCTTTGTCATTGGTTCTTTTTCCACTTATTTCCTTCAGTTGATAATTCTGTGGACCACTTTTCTACTCTTATTACCAGCTTGTTCATTGAAGGATTCTTAGTCTCAGCCTTTCTTAGATGTCTTGTGGCAATATTCATGGCTTTACTCATTTCCCAGTACCAAGACATGTTTTCCTAAGCTATCATCTTTGTACTGTTCTGCTCCTTTACTCTCCTCTGTCTTCCTTGTCCTGTTCCCTTGCCTGACTTAGACCTTGTTAGGATTTTAATCGATCTCGTGCATGCCTCATTTGAGCTGTTACCTGCTTTTTTTTACTGTCTTTCCCTCCCTACTTATTCCCTCCTATTTATTTCCTTAGTTTACCCTTGTTGTGATGTCTATCCTCTAACTGCTTCTCAAACCCTCTTACACTGCATTTCTTCTTTTCTCTCCTTGGACCAATCCAATCTTCCTCAGACTTTGACCACTTAAAGTTAAACTGTACTTCTTTTCTATCTCCCTACCTTCCATCTCTGTATTATTGGGCTGTCTGGATCCATCTTGGTTTATGTTTCCTGTTGAACAAATTTACTTCAAGGGTCCCTGTCTTCTTCTTCTGTCTCTATCCTGAGATTCCTACTTTCCATGAACCTCATTCTTTCTTTGTTTTCACTAAGGACCCATTGACTCCTTCATTGACATGTCCTTCTCAGTATGTTGATGTTTGTATTCCATTCATTACCCTTTTCATTCTCTTCCACTTCTTTTTTTTATCTGGCCATTGGATGAGCTCTTCCAGATGGGCATGTACATTCTCTTTACATATCCATCTCTCTACCTTCTTGCTGTTTTATCAGTTAATGGTTTTGGCTTCCACAGGTCACCATTCTTCATCACATCACTATCTTTGAGTAGAATGTGCATCATTTCCCTTTCAGGACCCATCTTTCATTCAATAGGGTCCCATTAGGTGGCTAGTGTTGCCTCACAGGGTATACTTATCCTGAATATGAATCAAGCCAGGATAACCATCCGGCCTGGTTTTATGTGTGTACACTGTGAGATGGGGTGTATCACAAGACCACTTGAGGTTTCTTCCTGGTATATATATATATATATATATATATTTCTACCTATGTTACATTTCTCACCTGATCCAGACCATATCTACTTCATGAACTGTCATAGAAAAAGTCAGCACCAGAGCAGTGTTTCTGCTCACTTCTCTTTCTTGTACTTGATGGCTTTTAAAAATAGATTTTTGTGGTCACTCATTGCACTGTCTCCAGTAAAAGACCTTTCTGCACTGAAGAACCAATGTGTGGCTGTGGTAACACTGAGAGTGTAGTGCAGATCACCCCATATATATGATACATCACACATCACTAACTACGTATGGACCAGTGATATAATTCACTACACCAATCCATTTAGTACCTATACCTCACAAGTTGTCCCATGTAATAAGTGTGTGTTCAGTGGAGTTGTGGTGAACACACTATTACTGATCCCTACTACATCACAAACATACCCTATTCCTGCAGCTGGTAAGGGACTTGTAGAGACTGATAGTTGAGTAGAGGTGTGTAAATTTATCCATACTGTAACAACACAATTGGAATTGGGCCCATAGAGATTGACAACAGAGTTGAGGCAAATACACCGTACATACCACTGATGTATCTCTCACATACCCTACTCCTGCAGCTGACAAGTTGCTCATAGCAACTAACAGTCGAGTAGAGGAGTATGTAAGTATCTATACTAAATCAGTTTCATACAATACCCTCCTCCTGCATCTGGTATGCTCTTTACTCACAACTGATTTTGACCCATTGAGTCTGACTGTAAAGGAAGTGAGCACATAGGGTACAGTCTGAATGAAACCCAATCTTTCTGTACATAGTACCTGTCTGATAACTTGTGCCCATGTACCAATTCTGCCCATCCAAGTGACACAAATCTGGTTTATTTGCCTCTCTTCTTCCCTACGCGGGCTAAGAGTATACTCTGAATGAGATGAGGTGTGATTCCCATGAGTGTACCACCAGGAAGTCTCTGCACTGGTCTCTCCACCATCTCAATGTAGAATTGTAGCTGAACTGTGTAGGGAGGAGAATAGTCATTTCAGAAATTAATATATTCCTTACCTAAAAATATATTTCTGATAGATACTCACCTTTTTACACATTCCCATCCATTCTTCCCACTTTCGGTGCACATTTCTTACTTGCCTTGTCGAAGAATGAAGGTTTACTATTGCAAATGCATAGAGGAGTTAGTGCGCATGGAGATGTGTCACCCTCCTATTGGTGGAGGGCTTTTGCAAAAATTCATGTGAAATTAAGTGAGAGTTTTCACAAGGCTACTGGCATACAAATCTCTTTGTCAAAATGCAGAAAAGAGCTGAGAAACTAAACTATGTATGGAGGTGAGTATGTATCAGTAATACATTTTCAGGTAAGGAAAATGTTTACTTCAGAGATTGCAGTGTGTTTTTCTCTTCAGTTATGGTTGGATATTGCAGGCTTTCTAGTAATGGCTGTATGATTAGGTGCTCAAATGTGACAGGTAAAACTGAGAATACTAATCTTTATTTATAGGTTACTTTGGAGCTGAGGCATAGAAAAACTTTAGAAGGTCATTCTTATGGACTTTCCTACTTATCCTGGAGTCCTGATGACAACTACCTAGTAGCTTGTGGAAGAGATGATTGTTCAGATTTGTGGGTGTGGAATGTCGAGGTGAGGATCTTGTATTTGAACTATTTACAGTATTTTTGTGGAAGGCTCAAAATTTAGAAATTACCCTAATCACTTGATATTTGTAAGTACCTGTAAAATAGAACAGGAATTATAGAAACTAAATTTTTGAAACTAAAAACATTGTTATTAAAATGCTGTGATTTGTTACTGTGTGAAGCTTTGAGGAATTTTTCAAAGTCTTGATGGAAAGAAGCTTTGTTAATTTCTTGTTGTGAAGATGAACAACCAGAGTTCTATGATGTTTTAATGTGGTTATTATTTCAGACTGGTAACCTGCGAGTCAAAATGAACAATTCGCCAGAGGATTCTCTCACATCCTGTGCTTGGCATAAAGACAGCAAGAAATTTGTTACTGGAGGAACAAGGGGCCAGTTTTATCACTGTGTAAAGTTTTTTATTTTAGTATCATAGTATTAGTCTAATATGCTGAAAAAATAATAGATTCTTAGAAGCAAAATAAAAGTGTGAGAGCAGTAAGAGATTATGATCAGGAAGAACTGAAATATGAGTTATAAAATTCCATACATACATACATTCTGGAAGATTTATAACCTTTTAAGATAATCCGCAGATGTACACACATATCAGGCAGGTGGGACGGCCAGGATTGTTCATCAAATGGTATTTTAAATATCTCCTCAATTGGTCATCAGAACTTTATAATACTATACAGTATCTTTTTATAATAATATTTAAGTAATGAGTGAGTCACAAGTTTTGGGAATGTCTGTAAATATTAGAGCAAATAAATTTAAATTTCTTGTTCTTTTTTATTACATTATAACTCAAAAACTAAGGTGAAATAGTTTCAAACAGAGTATCTGCTTTTATAAGTATTATTGATAACCAGCAGTAATTAAACAAAAATCATAATTCTAGTGTAAATGATTTTATCATTACCCCTTGAAGTTAGCTTTTTAGCAGAAATATTGTGTTCCTTTAAAAAGCTTAAATACAGGGTGAAACATGAATTACCAGCCAATAATAGATAAACAATAAATATTACTGTGGGAACATCATTGTATTTAGAACTTGGTTATAAATACAACCTTCCTATGTTTATTGTGAAACTGCATTAAAAAAAACAAGTAAAGAAAAACTTTTCAAGAAATGAAGTAAATGTAGGGATTGCTAATATCAATCTTTCATAAAAAATGCAAACAAGATAGTAGGGATGGAATTTGTATCATCCTACATAATAGCACAGACACACAGTGTAGTAGGAAGGATAAATTAAGCTCAATTGTGACTGAATAGTTTTATATATATTGCTATATGTTAATTCTTGTTTGCATTGTTTTTGAAGGATTGATATTAGCCATCTCCACATTTACTTTTTACTTTTTTCTTTACTTGTATATGTTTTTGTCAGCATAAAGTATTTGATTTGTTTAAATGTAATATTTTTGACCAGTGTGCATTTCATTTATATAAGCATTATGTTAATATACTGTTTTTTTGTCACATCAAAGTTTGTTTAAACAGCACTGATACTTTGTGATTTAATTTAAAATGTGGTTGAACTACAGAGTGGAATTTTTTTATGATCATTTTACACATGTTTAATTAGTAGATGATTTCTTTCATAACTGTTACAGCTGATCCATAATTTCTAAACTTTCTTTTAATCAAACCTATCTGTTGTGCTAAATAGATGAGACTGACATTTTCTCCAGTTGTGTGGTCTTTGTAAAGTTATTTTCGGTAGATATAAAAATTTTGACATCTGTGATTTAAAGAATTGATATGTGTTTTTTTTCTAATGATGAAGGATTTAGATGGGAATGTCTTGGACTCATGGGAAGGTGTCCGAGTGCAATGCTTACGGTACCGTAATGACGGTAAGACAGTTCTAGCTGCGGACACACATTATAGAATTAGGGGATACAACTTTGAAGATCTCACAGATTTTAATATGTAAGTTTTAATTAGTTATAAATGTCTGAAAGCATAAATTGGTAATCCTCCATTTGAAAATTATTGAAACTAAGGTGAACAAACAAAACTGTTTGAATTACAGAGTATGATTGAACATGAAAAGTTTCTTAAACAATATATAGTTGTAAGTTTTCTAAATTATAAACAGATGTAGAGTAGCGATATCTGTAAGGCCACAGGTATAATAAAAAAAAATGTACCCTTTTATTTTTCATCATCATACCCATTGTGAGAGAAACAGTATAGCAACTCTGCTTCATGTTGAGTATGCATACATTATGACATATTAAATGGCTGTCTTGTGCAAAAATGGTTTAACCAAGTGTGTCATTTTTCAATACTGTTACAAAAACATGAATAAAGTTATGTTATCTAGAGTGCTATTAGAATGTTTGTTGTCTTAAGGGGCAGCACCAACTTTTTCCCAGTTAAGGGGCTGAAGTGTACTAGACAACAAACTTAGGTGGCTCCATTCTACATCTTGTCACATGTACTGTAATACTTAGGAAGTGAACCAACTTTAATAGTAAGCAGTTTTCATTGGGTGTGGTGGCTGCAGGAAAGGCTAAGGCACAATTTGGGGTTGCTTCAGCCCTGATGATTTTATGACTGTAAAAACTTCAGTAATTAATTTAAGGCCTTAATTTTATTTTAAAATGCTTTATACACGTTTATTAACACTTTTGCTAAGGACATTTTATCTGCTCATATCATGAGGCTTAAGTGAGTTACATTCAAAATTTAATTAAACTACTTATTATCAGGGTATTTGAATAAATTTGGCATAAAAACATAGATAATAATACAAATTTCATTAGTATACAAGTTTTAAGTTCTTAATTTTATATGGCACTATTTAAAAAACCTATATTTCCCCTCGTATAAATATTGTGACATTTTGTCTCTAGGCATCCATCTTTTCTAATTTATTTACCACTCCTCCAAGAAGTATGAAATTTCACATAAATTACTCATTATAATGCCAGAGATGAAAGTCTTCCGGATATATCCGGAAATCCGGA